TCAAATAAACTTACATTGAAGCACTTTTGAATAGTCATAACATTTTTTTTTTTTTTAATCTACCGCTCATTCGGAATGCTGTCTCATCACAAGAAGAACAAGCAAGAAACTTGTGTGTTGCTCTTTTAAATAATTTATTCTTACTTACAATTTAAGTTTAAGTGTGTGAATACAAACCACCGATTAGCACTAATTCAATTAAATACTCAAAAAGAAAAAATATTGAATACATAACCAACTGGTTAAACAATTAATAAGAGGAAATCAGTCATAGTGATTAGAGCAGACCAATCCCTACAAGCAGCACCCGTTCACGAGTATGACGGATGAGCCAGCCATCACTGCGCTCGACCATATTTCTCGACCATTCTCGCCAGACTCATCACAAGTAGAAGTAGAAACTAAAAATCTGCGTGTTGCTCTTTTAAAGAAATGTTGTTCACAATTATTTTTTTAATAATTTCGTATGAATACAAATTACCAAATAGCGAACATGACATAAATAAATAAAAGTAAAATTGAAAGTTTCTAAATAGTTACTTGAGCAACAAATTAATCATTATTTTTTTTATAAGCACAGTCAAAAGAAAAAAAAGTTTCCTTGACTAAAACTTAGTTTCTAATCGGGGTAGTTGCAAAACAAATGCGGGGTGCGGTTGCCAAATGCAAATCAGTTGACTCTCGGTCGACGGCGGAGGGCGTGAAAAAATGGATCATGAAAAACTAAGTCAAAGTTCAACTATTGCACAATTAATTCGTGAAATTTTTAGATAGGTATTACTAGTTAATATTATATTATACTACCTGTGCCCGCGGTTTTACCCGCGTCAAATTTCAATATATATTTTATATTGATTTAGATTTAGCCTCATACTTTTTTCAGTACATTATTAATAATCTAACAATCAATTCACGTAAAACAAGAACCATATAGTCTATATTTAGTTTTAAATCTTGTATAATATTACTAATAATGTATCTACTAGCATTACCACAGCACTAGCTAATGTCTTATTCCGATGCATAAGCTATATTACTGTAAAGTTTCATCAAAATCCGTTCAGTAGTGTAATACATTGCTAGCTATGGGATCATCCACATTACTTACAATCCCTTTCTTCACAGTTAGATTCAGTTAAACATATCTAAATGTAGGTGTAACCTCAACATCGACAGTAGACGGTGTCTCTGACTACCTCTGATTGGATAATAATAATAATAATAAGAAACCTGATATAGTGGTAATGGATCGGGCACTCTCGAGGGTGTTTTTAGTGGACTTCACCATACCGCATGACGAGAACCTCGTGAAAGCCGAAACAGAGAAAAAGAGAAAATATCTCGACCTGGCTCACGAGGTGACCGAAATGTGGGGGGTGATGTCCACCGAAATCATTCCAATCGTTATATCGGTGAACGGTCTTGTCCCAACCAGTCTGGAACAACATCTCAGACGGTTGGGATTCCGGAGCGGCTCACTCCCGGGAAAGATGCAGAAAGCGGTGCTCTTAGATTCTGCCCGCATTGTACGCCGGTTTCTCTCCCTGGGGCCCTGAACCCCGGCCGACTGTGCTTCTACCGGGGGTAAGTTGCCATCTACTCTCCTTAAGAGGGGAGATGAGAATTTTTGGATAGTAATTAATAATAATAAAAATTGAAGACAATTGCTGAAAAAATAAACAAATATGCAGAGCAAAGGAAGAGGTAACAAGAATTTGGAAACAGGAAAAAGTTTATATAATACCCATAGTCCTCTCATCTACAGGTATCATACCCAAACACCTACATCATAGCCTGAAACAATTACATATACAAAAAACACTTTACATCACCCTTCAAAAGGCTGCCATCTTGAATACCTGTCGTACAGTCCAAAAATTTCTCGAAATAGATGAAAAGGATATAACACCAGTCACACCAGGCACACAATAAGTACACACACACACTCACACATACACACACGCGCTCACACACATACACACACTCTGCACTTACTTGGTTTCGGCGCGTAAGTGTGGAGAAAACCAGCAAAACTGAGAAAATAAAATTTATTTGTAATAGATTTTGGGTACATACATATATATATGTTATACAAAAATATGGCCCTTGCAAAATCTGCTTATATCAAGCGTACAAATCTTAAGTTAATTAAATTATCGATTGTTTATATAATTATGAATTATTCTATGTATATGTCAATTTGTATATAAATCTAAATGTCATGAGGAACAATTTATCATTTTAATATTCGAAAAACTTTTTAATTAAGTAAAACACTTGGAAACTAACCATTCATGCAGTTTTATTAAAATAATATTTTATAGAGAGTTCTTATATCGTCAGGAAGCTTATTAAATATTTGTATCGCCATACAAAATGGACTCTTTTCGTTATGGATAGTGTTATTGTAGGTACTTTCCAATAACAGTCATGACGGTATATTACAAAGATCAAGCACAGTAGCAAATGTCAAGATGTTTTTGGCATATTTTTTCTACTAATGTAGTAATTAACTTCAAGGATTTCATTAAAGTATACTAAATAGCAGAGACGTGAAAATGATGTAACGTACATAATTGCAATTTAATGACAATAACAAAAACGTGATCATTTTTAATAGGCACTTGGTGGTATTTTCTTATTTATTCCACGCGGACGAAGTCGCGTGTACAGCTAGTTAGCTGTACCGGCGATATCAAATTTACTTTATTTTTCTAAAATAAAAGTAGCCTAAGTTACTCCTTATTACATCAGCTACCTGCCAATAAAAGTCCCGTCAAAATCGGTCCAGCCATTTCAGAGATTAGCCGGAACAAACAGACAGACAGACAAAAATTGCATAAATATAAATAATGCAAATATATAAAATGCGTTATTTCAATATTACCAACGGACACTCTAATTTTATTTATATTATACATATAAATGTGTTAATTAATTTGATCCCACCGCTTGTGCATAGATACCGACCCCTAGGTAGTTATCACTTCTCTCACACCGCAAGCTAACGCATCCACTGTCCACGTGCTACAGAATAGAATAGAATTTATTAACTCGTTTTATACAGTAATAACATAAGAAGTGCAAGAATAATTTACACATTAAAAAAACAAAGTCAATGTGGGCCACAACTCAGCATAATCCTAGAAACATAGTTTCCAACGTTGAGTTTCAGTTGGGCCCACAGTACGGACGCACATACTCGTATATTTATTTTTATTTTTTTTATTATTTTTTTTATTTAGGAAGATTAACGGTGTAATTTTACATGTTACTTGTCATATAAAACTGTCCTGTGCCAATTAATAATCTTCGCCAATAGTATTACCAGATTAAATTTTTCATTAGCCAATTTTAACATATTGAAGTAATCACGTGACAGTGTTTCAGTTGTAGTTTTACAGTACAAGTAAATAGACCAACATACCCACAAGTAGCGATGTATCCACAGAACACACAAATAAAGTACGGCTATGTATCGTTAAAGAATTGGTTACATATGAGTGTCCTAACTGAGGCAGTGCTGGAACAAAACAGGTCAATATCATGTGGTACTTGGTTGAAGGATTTACATGCTCGTAAAACGAAAGTGTTCTCTCTGTATCTGGTCCTGACTGTAGGGACACTTAATATGGCTCTTTGTCTAAGTCTTAGGGTATTAGTTCTTAAGTTTATTTTTGATAGCAGCCCCGAGCAATCAATTATTCCGTTCGCTATATCCATAAGATAACAGATATCGTTAGTATTGCGTCTCATATACAGGGGTAGAAAGTGATACTTTCTACATCTGTCATAGTAATCTACAGAGCGTCGTTTACATTTATATATGCGTTAGTGATAGTTTACGCTTTAAATCAATTATCTGTTTTCATTCTCGATTATACAACTCCAGGCTTACCTGTATAATATCCATAACACCGGCTCTGCTTAGCTTAGGACTAGATGGTGCTGCGTGAAATGTTCTGACATATTACCTCATTATTATTTCAACCCCAACCAGATTATTATTTGAGATAAAATATAATCTACTAGCTACTCGCCCGGCTTCGCTATCTATTAAAAATATCCGCTTCAAAATCTTCACATAGGGACGGACAGACAGCGACAGCGACTTTGTTTTATTCTATGTAATGATATAATTCATTCTTACAACTAATTGTCTAAATATTCGTCTTTAATTCAGAGGATAGCAAAAGAAAATAGTTAGTAAGTCTGTATTAAGTTGTATTGTAAGATCACAAACTGTATACTAAATAATAAAAACGTAATAATAAACAAATAGGATAAGATACGAAATATAAATCCTAAAATGTATCATTATTACATAGTATAGAATAAAGTCGCTGTCGCTGTCTGTCTCTATGTATGCTTAAATCATTAAAACCACGCAACGGATTTTGAAACGGTTTTTTTAAATCAATAGAGTGATTCTAGATGAAGGTTTTTATATATAATACATGTATTTAATAAGATTATAATTACGATTAAAATTTATTTATATAACTTAATTGTACAACTAAGTACTTAAAATTAAAAACCTTAAATATATAATATAATAACTAAAATATATTATCAAAAGGTGTTTAGGCAAAGTTCTTCTTGTGATGACATCTGGCAGCCCTTTTGAATGGCTAGAAAAAAAAAAAAACTTTGTCAAAAGTGCTTATATTAAGTTTTTCTGTGATGTCGACTAACCTTGTATGTATTATGCGTGCGATGCCGGGCCGAGTAGCTAGTATATATATAAAATAAATAATTAGTTTGTATAAACAATACCAAGCCTTATTATTGATATCCGGAATGATGTGTAATATTATGTTATCTGTGGTAATGTTAATAAAACAACATTCGTCCTGATTTTTAGCTGCAATCGAAAACGATACAAACATTCAGAGAGACAGAAATACAGGGCGTACTTGCAAACTATAACAATTAGTTTACAAACTCTGAACAAAATCTGAAGACTCAAGGTCCGCGATCACCAACCAGTCATGCTTTTAACCGAGGGCCATGAAATGAGTTTATAAATGGCACACAAACGGACGCGCGACTCATTTTATCACAGCCTGGATTAGCCAACATGTGTGCAGAACAGGTCAGTTCATTATTTTTAATATCGCATGCCTCTTACTTGTTATTGTGTAATTATTTATATAAAATAAAAAAGTGCAACACACAAGTTTCTTGCTCATTCTTCGTGTGATGTATCTGCGTTCCGAATTAGTGGTAGAATCAAATATGACTATACAAAAGTGCTTGAAGTGAAGATTATTTCTATTTCTATTTCAATAGTTATCTGTGTCTGAACTTGTGAATATACAGTTTACTATACCTTTATGTGTATTTCGTGTCAGTCAAATGCATAAAATACATCAATACATGTGAAGGACGTATCGTGTTTGTGATGTTTTTGAACTATAATATTTAATTAACGAGAGGTGTAGATACGTAAATTTTATTATTTTTTAGTAAAAAAATATTAATAACTGTGTATTGTAGTTAATCAATTGACAATTCGATATCTCGCATTAAAACGATTATATCAAAAACAATCTACCAGGCCTATTCAGAAAACCAGCGGTTTCAAGCGTGTGAAATTCATATTCTATGTGTTATTCTGATATATAAGCTATATTAGTGTAAAGTTTCATCACAATTCGTTCAGTAGTATTAGTGTGAAATATTTGCGTGCGTGTATACTCACAAACTTTCGTATTGGTAAGATTATTTTTCACTTTAAATATTATTATTTGTAATTGTTTGAATTAGAAATGATCATTTATAGTTCTTATTTCAAAATTGTAATAATTAGTTTGAATTTTTTGTTATATTTAATTACATTATAGCCATTATAGAAATATACGTAATATATAATATAATAAACTTTTCTATTTATTTATTTATATATATTTGCTTCTGTGTGTAAATATATTTATTTAAATACCTGTATTTACTAATTCAATTAATTTATTTGCATCAAGTAATATATTACATAGATATTTGTCATCTTTATTGGTAATTCAATTTCAAAATCAAAAATAATTTATTCATGTTTTAATAATATATTCATTCATTTGAGCCGGTTATGAACGTCATTTTTTTAAGTAAGGAATAAATACATTAGTTTCATATATACAATAGCTATCACCACCATTTCTACTTAACAAATATGAGTTTAATAATATTATTCAACTTTATAATCAATTATTGAATATAACTGTAATATTAGGCATTAAATTAAATAACCTATAATTAAACTCTTAGTTAAATATAACTATAGTTAAAATGATAGTATTACAAAAATTAACCGTTTGGTAATTACCTTCTGTTTCAAAGACACCTACTCTCAGGGCTCGAGGTCGTATTGCATTGTGCCTTATTTTATAAGTAGAAATATATCATTCTTATAATAAATGACTGCAAAATAAGTATATTTTGCAAATAAGTTTTTTATGTTTAGGGAGTTATGAAAGCTTCAGTGCTTACGGTTTTCACCAAGCTTTCCCCAATTTCTCAACACTATTTATTTAACGTACTAAATTAAGCTTATTTTCAACACAATTGTTCACTTTAAACGAAATTTCACTTTTTCTTTATTAAAATTTCTAAAAAGATAATAAACTAAGTTACTCCTAACATTAGCCCTCAGCGAGTGATAGTCTCGTTAAAATCGGTCCAGCCGTTTCACAGATTAGCAAGAACAAAGAGATTGACAATTTTTTTTATTAATTATTTGATGTAAGTAAGGTATATAATTACATATGCGTTTAGTAAAAATGTGTTAATTTTTAATTACAAATATATAATTCAATTTTATTTATTTGTATGTATTAAAAAAATCCGTTTTCAAAATTCGTTGCGTAGTTTTAAAGATTTTATACATAGTGACGGACAGACAGTGACAGCGACTTCGTTTGTTTGTTACTATATAATGTTTTATACTATTTAATGATGGATAAACTTAAGCATAGCGTACATTAGATCTTTAAAAAAAATACTTTAACAGTGAAGTACATAGTACATATTCGACGCGAGTAGCGCTACAAGATATAGTTAATATGTTATAATCACTATAATATAGTAAAGCTATAAAATAAATGAACAATATATCCATTAAAAAAAAACAGCCGTAGAATCGTCTGTATTTATTAATCCAATATGGAGTTGCAGAACTTGTATATTAAGTCAAGATCAAGTTCAAGTGGTATTATATATGTGCCACACACATCTGTTAAGGTTTGAACACATTATTGACTTTACCTTTCAACAATTGCCTTATAAGTCTGCAAATATAACATTATATTGTAAAAATACTACCCATATTGTCCCCTCTGATCGATCCCCTGTCTTTTTTTATAACACAGGGGACAAACGAGCGTGCGGCTCACCTGATGGTAAGTGATTACCGCCGCGCATGAGCACTCGCAACACCAGGGGAATTGCAAGTACGTTGTCGGCCTTTTAAAAAGGAATAAGCTCTTTTTTTTAATGTTTCAATATCAAAATTCAAACGGGGATCGATATTACAACAGCCTGAGATGAGGCTCGAATCTTTACTGGTGCCCTCTTGTAGAAATCCCATCTTGTCTTCCCTGATTAATATGAGCCGAGCAGAGCCGAGCCACGAACTTTTAACAGTGCCTTCAGACTAAAGTCGACAAGCATGAGTCGGTAATTAGCCACTCTGTAAGTCCTTCTGCGGTTTGGAATGCCATCTGCACTTGCCCCCTGCTATTGTATGGTGAAGATATAGGTAAAGGTCAGCTGCGCTCAAAAGCATTGAAATAGTTATAAAAAAATAGGTAATATTAGTATACGCGCTAAATGTTTTGCAAACATGTGCATTTATGTACTAAGTCCTGGACTTTATAAAAGTAGAGCAGATGGAGGCCCGAGAGCCGAGGTTCGGACCACAAGCGGTGCCCTTAGATTGAAGTCTTATTCTTCAATCATGACTCATAAAGTGTAATATTTATATTCTTTAACATGCTTTTAAAAACAGACGGTATGTTTGTTCAAATTTTGAATAGATTTGTTTCATAATTAAAATAAAAAAAAATATATATTCAAGATAATCTATTCACATTTTTTGTGGCATATGTGGCCATATGCCTCGGTAGCTTAACGGTTTAGCACACCGCTTTACTTCCGATGGTCACTGGTTCGATTCCTGAAAAGATTCCTACTGAAAGCCAACTCCCGCCTGACGGATACGACTTTATCTGAAGCCACCGCTAGGAGTTCGAACCTTGGCTCAGGATCTCGTAATTTCGATCCCCGTATGAATTGGACGAGATCGATCGGAGGGAGTCAATTCTATAGTCAGTCAACTCAAACTGTATTCAGACAGCTAAAAAGAAATTATACTTTCAATGTAAATTATGGTATAGTTCAAGCATAAATACCGATGGACAGATGGATGAGCATGATGAAATCAGTTCCGTTCTTGTCATTTGGTTACGGAACTTAAAGACAGACCAGTTCCGCATCATTTACTATCACGGGAAAATGTAGTATTACTTCACTGGTAAATGCCACAGTGTAAACAAAACTTATAACAATATTTAAATGCTTGTGTATTTTTTGTGTGTTTTATATTGCAACACAAATAAAAGAACACTTGAGTAGCTTTTTTTATATGTTTATAGTTTCTACAGATTAAATATACAAGCCAGTCTCATTATACCTTGAAACTAACCACTATATCGCTTCACCAGTGAGCAAATTGCCTTTGCAGTGCTGCAAAGGCAATTTGAAGAAGGATCTGAAGGATCAGCTATATCGCTTGAATGGCACCTACAGACGCCATTCAACGAAATTCGAATATGATTATTTCATGATCTAACGTGATCCTCTGTCGAAGATCATCGCTCCTGGCTAGCAAAGCATATATATCTTCTATTTTACCACATACTTCAAAATTTTGTGAATTGCTCTTTTCATCTGGCACTTATACTATCTTAAAATAAACATGTTTTCGGAAATGAGGCAGCTGGAAAGATATTGTGTTCTTTATAAAAAACGGTCACTAAGATTTTATATATAAGTGATAAGTACCTATAAAATAATATAAGTAATCAGTATATTTTATAGAAAATAAAAATTATTATTAAAATACGAATAATTTCAAGTTCTTCTCGGTTCCCCAACTATATAAAACTATGTAAATATTTTTATTCAAATAAAATTAATATAACCATTTTTGATTAGTCATATTTTATAATATTTTTTTTTATTCTACCCCTGATTCAGATTCGAAAAACAAACTCATCACAAGACGAACGAGCAAGCAACTTGCGTAATATGGCAACATTTAAATAAGCGTTGTTCAGCATAAAAAAAAACAGTTTTGATTTATCCATCTGTCAATAAATAACTGTGGAACAAGTTCTATTTAGTTTGGAGGTAAATATTAAAAAAAAATAACAAAGTTATACTACATATTTTTGAAGTAGGCTAAAACAATTACGTGCCATATTAAGTAAATCTATGCACACTAAGTGACAAGCCTGAATTGAAGGTCATTATCGACGTGCAAGCTTCATATGTTATGGCTCGACTTTGTACATCTAAAGGTCACTCTGACATGCCACAATAAGTCAGCTGTTGTTCCAGTTTCATTGGATATCATATATTAACCTTGGTACACCTGACGTGACCATCCGTCACATTTTGAGTACGACAGATACACTTTCAGACTGTCAATCTCGCTATACCTAAAACAAAAATGTAACGGTTTCATCTGCTTTTAAAATCCGCAGACTTTAGTAAGAATCGGTTGAAAATAACTACCTCATTACATAGTATAAAACATAGTCGCTGTCGCTGTCTGTCCGTTCCTATGTATGCTTAAATCTTTAAAACTACGTAACGGATTTTGAAGCTGTTCTTTTTAATAGATAGAGTGATTCAAGAGGAAGGTTTATGTGTATAATACATGTACACCCGTGCGAAGCCGAGGCGAGTAGCTAGTAAAGTATGTACTTTTGTACTTTTGGTTACGTATGGGGATATGTATCCCATACGTAGTCAAAATGAAATTTATGTATAAGATTTTATATTCTTATTTTTTTTGCGTTTCACTCTCATTATGATATAATAGTAATAATAACAACATCTCAAAACTCAGGGTTGCTTTTATTATTTTTATATTCTTTATTGCACTTTAAAATACAGTGTAAACTTAATTATATACAAAGTAAGGAAAAGTAGACTTATCTATAAAATAGATTGCTGATTGATAGCGTAAAAGAAAGAGAAGAACTTCTTAGCATTCCTTGGATACACCGTGCGTGTGTCAGGTCCATCATGTGCCAGAGAGGGAAACTCTGAGTATTTCCCGGGACTCGTGACCTGGGTGTAGGTAAGCTCGTTTGCCGACATACGTCAACCCTCACCTTCACCGCTCAAGTTTCTCTTCATGCCCTTCCTCTCCGATCGATCCCCCGTCCAATTGAAACGGGGATCGATATTACGACGGCCTGAGCCGAGGTTCGAACTCCTAGCGGTGCCCTCAGACTAAAGTCGTATCCGTCAGGCGGTAGTTGGCCTTCAGCCGCTCCATAAGTCCTTCCGCGGGTATGGAGTGCCATCTGCACTCGCCCCCTATCGTCCGGTGAAGCTGTAAAAGCCAGCTGCGGCCAACAGCATTAGAGTAGTTTTTCGTAAATACATACATATTATACATAGAAAACACCCAGAACAAACAATCATACTCATAAATACAAATGTCTGTGCCGTGTGAGGAATCGAACCCGCGACCATCATATGTAAAGCGGTTTCCTAGACCGTTTCCTAGATGGCTATACCACCGAGCCCGTCAAAATGATACGAAAAATTAATCGCTTTAGTGCCTATGACGTCTTAAATTAATAAATTATTTTTGTACTTAGAATTTGACTTTAAACAGAAATCAATGTCGTATAACGTATTGATTCTTGAGGTCTCTGTTTAATGAACTATTATTATAGATTATCGACGGACGTGTGGAGTACATAAGTTTATTGTTCACATTTATCTTTGCCCTTTTAAATGATGGCTTGCTCAGATTGAACAAAGCAATTCGATCCACAGTCAAGGATGTTCCGTATAAAATCTTTGGTTATTATTATCTGTGTAGAGGCTTCAACTTGTGTTAACGTTTAAACATAGTGATAATTGCAGGTATTGATAAAAAATATTCACAAAAAATAGAAGATATTTCGATTTGAATGAAAATGAATGAACTGAAACCATACATACATAAATTTATATATATAAATATATAAAAACTTATAATTAAAAGACAGAGGTAACTGGACAACTTCATTGTTTTTTTTACAATTAACACAACGCCGTCTAGTCACACAGTAAGCAGAACTTGTGTTATGGATACTAGATAACTGATATATATAATATAGCTGAATAAGCTGTTTTCTTGAATGTTTCAATATCGTATAGGTTCGGAAATACCATTGCTGGAAGGTGATTTCACTATGTGGTTGTGCATGGGCAAAAGTTTATAGAAAACCACACTGTAGAGGACCGCCATTCATTCAGATGATCAGGATGGTATTTAAGTTTGTGGCAGGTGGTTATAGATTGATTATGTCTACTGTCTACCCATAATATATTTTATTTCCCATCTACCCGCTGCTCGTCAGTTTACCCGTAATCATGGCGGTTGAAACACTGCCGAAATATCGAAACTCAATAAAAATAAATAAAACGTCGTATGATCCTATGATTTTCTAATTGTATATATTTTGATTTGATTTGATTTATGTTTGTTTCTAGCTGACTGTGCTGTTGTGTATTTGCGTTCTGCTGGTATCAGCGGCTCCTTCCCCAGATAGCGCTGGAATCCCTCCATTACCAGGTCCAGGATTATCTTACGGTAACTATCTATAGTTTCACATAAATAATGGACAATCTTTCTTTTTTTTTATGTAATTTGAATGGCAAAGTAACTGACGCCTCACCTGATGGTAAACGGTACCTGTTGGCTATATACATGAACAGTACGACGGACATCACGTTATCATGTGACACTCGTGATACTCCATTAATTAATCCTGAAATGAAATTACAGGATAAGCATGACTTCATACGACGTCATGTCTCTTATCAGGTAATTTCCATGTTATCGGAATAGCGATGAAGCTGATCCCACATGTCACTGGTACCTAAACATTTTTTAATGGATGATAATGGTGCATTCGCCAAGCCAAGCCAAGATAAGTATGAGGTCAGATCAGTTATGCCCATCGTGTCAAATCATCAGGAATTTAATATGGTTACTAAGGGGAACCGTGTGGAGGTCAAACTGATACGGTACATTGTTAACATTGGTAACACCCAGCGGTACCCATTTTTTTTATGGATGATATTGAAATGCTGCACCCACCTGCGCTAATGGTATACGCTGGCAGGGCACTAGTGGAGGATCATAAGTTGAATATGAGGTCAGATCAGTGATCTAAGACTTGATTCTGGAAAAAATCATGAGGTCAGATCAGTTAGCTCATCGTGACAAATTCACCAGGAATTCATCACGATGGTTTCCAAAAAATGATAAATTCCTGGTGAATGTGCCATGATGGGCTAACTGACCTGACCTCATGTTCTTACCATCCTCCACTGGGTCCCCGCTAGCGTACACCATTAGCGCAGGTGGGTGCACCATTGTAAGTTAAAAAAAACTAAGACATGCCAGTTTTATTTAGGATTGTCAGATTCGAACTCATGGCTAATAAGCTGGCGAAATAAACCACTGAGGCATGACGCAGTATTTTATTGTTTTAACTATTGGATATATTCAATATATTGGATTTTTACGTTCCAGGTGGAATACCATACGGCAGTATGAGCGGAAATGTTGCAGAATACTTTAGACGTCAAGCGCCATCTGCCGCACGACCTCGGAACTTGGTCGATCCTGCTTTACCTGACATTGACTTTGCTCCTATTGAACAATGGTTGTGATAGATGGCGCTAGTGTACTTTAGGATTTGTGGTGATGGAAAAAAAATGTGCCATTAGAGGTGTTCACGTAGTATTATAAATAATTGTTTGTTGTTGTTTGATTGATTTGTTGTTTTATTATGTTATTTCTTTCTATATTCCTCTATCTAAATATATATAACTAAAAGGTGACTGACATAGTGATCTATCGACGCACAGCCCAAACCACTGGATGGATCGGAATGAAATTTGGCATGCAGGTAGATGTTATGACGTAGGCATTCCTTAAGAAAGGATTTTGATAAATTCCACCCCTAAGGGGATAAAATAAATAGGGGATGTAAGTTTGTATAAATCTTCTTAGATTTTCGACTGATTGAACTGAAATTAAAGATTAGAGCTACTATGATGAAGACGTTCGCTTAAATAGGATTTTGATAAATTCAACCCCATGGGGATAAAATAAGGGATGATGCAGCATGTAAATGTATTAGTTTGAACCTATCAGTACCTAATGGAACGAATAAATTAAGACGAACAAAATAATTTTTAGTCCTTTAGGCTTTATGACTTTTATTTTAGAAAAATAAAGTTAAATTCCACACGGACGAAGTTGCGGGAACAGCTAGTTTCCTAATAAGTTTCTTTTTTACTCAGATTTTTTAGGTCAGACATAAATATTATTAAAATATAGTATCTATTACAGTTGCCAGATATTTTATTAGCGTATAAGGGGCAAATGCTTAAATAGGCAAAAAAAATATACGGGAATTTAATTTTTTACCCGGGACAAATCATCAAAAGACAAATTGTCTAGCATAGATCGATCGATTTAATAATAAAATACGGAGCACGATTCGAATACGGGACAGAGTCATTTCCGCCGCGCTGGGACATTTTAAACTAAGCCTAAAATACGGGACGTCTCGGGAAATATGGGACTGGCAACGCTAGTACCTATCTGTAATGAAACGGTCACCCTGTTGGCTGGTATGACACCTAGTAAAACACAATTAGTCCTACAAAAAGTTCTGCCGTATCAAATCACTGAAGTCAATATGTTAATAGGAAATAATAATGTCAGTCAAAATAATAAAGAAAAAAACCTGTTGGCTGAGCACCAGTGGGCACGATGAATCAAGAAATATACTGGAAATCGGCTCTCTTTATTTGTTTATAAATAAAGTAACATAAAAAGTATTATAATATATATGTATATTAATAGTTACTTAAATGACAAATAATATAACTTATTGTTTAACATTTATTTAATTACGCTTATACATAGGCATAATCTTATATATTCTGCTATTCTGCCTATGAGAGGTTGCAAATTAACAGACTATTTTTAGTGGATGATAATGGAATGGTGCACTTGTCTGCGCTAACGGTTTACGCTGGCGGGGCACCAGTGGAGGATGATAGGATGAGCATGAGGTCAAATCAGTTAGTCCATCGTGACAAATTCACCGGGAATTTATCACGATAGTTTCCAGGGGGAACCGCGTGGAGGTCAACCTAGCAATGGGACCATTAGTCTACATTACCAACAATTCCCTTCCATGACACTGTTAAAATATACTACCCCTGTATGAATCAATAAGAGATTGATTGAATGAATAAATGATGCATGAAGTCAGCCTTTTTTAATTGATGATAATGGAATTTTTAATGGATGAATAGGGCACCAAGCAAGCTAACGTACCTGTTCCGTATTCCGAACCTCCTTAGTCCAAGCAGGTCGTATCACCGGCTTACTTACTGGACCAAAGGGTGCTCGGTAATACTGGCCACATATAAAAACATGTGGCCACTTAAATTTAAAAAAAAAGAATAATATCATCATTGCCTTGCCTTTATCCCATTATTTGTGGTCGGCTGTATGTCATTCTCTTCCACTGCTCTCTATCAGTCGTCATATCTGAACATACTCTTCTTTTATTCATATCATCTTTCACACAATCCATCCATCTTTTCTTAGGGCGTCCCCTCCATTTACATCCATCCACCAAAAAAAGAATAATAAAACAATTTAAAATAATAACTGGAATTAAAAGGACGCTCCGTATTTTTATCTATATAAAACAAGATAATTAATGATTTATTTAACACAATATAATTGTTTTTGATGAAAATATACACTGTAGAGTGCGTGGCCACTAAACAGTACTACACATCGGGACGTTCCTGAGCAAAGGTGAGTAAGTTTGGTGTTACATTGCTTACTTTGGGGTGTTCGGAGTGTGGAAGACGTTCTTCCAGGAAATCGTAATCGTATTTTTACTTGCTTTTCCATTAATTATTTTCTTTTCAATAAATACAGTCCACTCTCTCTTTTATATATTAATTTATAAGGATTCGTAATCCAACACAACAGTACAATAAATAAATAAATAACTCTGAACAATTAACATAGCGCCGCCTAGTCCTACGGTAAGCAGAGCTCGTGTTATGGGTACGAGACAACTTTAAATACATATTAGAAAATATGATACATAGAATAGAATAGAATAGAATAGAAAATCATTTATTCAAATAAACTTACATTGAAGCACTTTTGAATAGTCATAACATTTTTTTCCATCTTGTGATGAGACTGCAAGCTCGACCATATTTTATTATTACTTTACATTTTTAAGTTTAAGTGTGTGAATACAAACCACCAATTAGCACTAATTCTATTAAATACTCAAAAAGAAAAAATATTGAATACATAACCAACTGGTTAAACTTAGGACATTTTTCAGTGAGCATGACTATTTTACTGACCAAAACACATTTTAGACAACGTCAAAACACCAGACTCACTCACAATTGCCATCTAATAGTTATAGTATTCACATTTTACATAAGAATGCATGCGGCAATTAATACAAAAACCGCTACGCTTTAGAAAATAATATACATAGGAAACTACCGAGACTGATAATAAAAATAATAATGACATTTACCCTATGATAATACGTGTACAATACTGTCCATAAGTAGCTATACCTTCTATTCCATTGTTATGTATTTCTCACGATTGTAGCCTTTTTAATTACGTACCCACTTATTTCGCACTAATGTCTTTGTAGGACTCACTTTTTTTTGGCTTCAATACAAAACAATGACTGAAATGTACTAGACTTACATTCCAACAGACTTTAAGTATCTATACGCTTTGCAATGTGGATGGATGTAAAGGGAGGGGACGCCCTAAGAAAAGATAGATGGATTGTGTGAAAGATGATATGAATAAAAGAAGAGTATGTTTAGATATGACGACCGATAGAGATTAGTGGAAGAGAATGACATACTGCGCCGACCACAAATAATGGGATAAAGGCAAGGCAATGATGATGACGCTTTGCAAGAATCACTAATAATCTAGAATTAAAAAGCAACACGCATGTTTGTTGTTCATTCTTCTTGTGATGAGTGTGCGAAGAATATATATATGCTATAGATTACGCTGGCGGAAGGCCAGTGGAGGATGACAAGATGGGCTAACTGGTCTAACCTCAAGTCAGTTAGCCCATTGTTACGAATTCACCGGTAATTACCCACTATGGCTTCCAGAGGAAACCCCGAGGGGGTCAACCTGATGTGGTATATTGCTAGCATGTCATTAGTACTATTACTAACAATTCAAATACAAAATATCTTTATTCATGTAGGTCTATTACAGACTCTTATGATATGTCAAATCTACCGTCAGTTCGGAATGATTTCGAGATGAGAAGAATTGACAAGAAACTCAGCTCGTATTTTTTCAAATAACTGATACATATTTACAATAATACAGTTTCATTTTTAAATTCAAATTTGGGAGAATAGAGTGACCGCCAGCATATGCTATTGTAAAAGCAGTTAATCTAATCAGTGTTCATAACCCGAACAGACCAAACCCCACAAGCAGCACCCGTTCACGAGTATGACGGATGAGCCAGCCATCATTGCACTCAACCATATTAGAGGGAGCACATTTATCCGTCCCACCACGCCGCCCCATGTTTGAACTTTATAGCGAGCATGACTGTTTCAAGTAACTCCACTACGTCACTTATATTATTTACAGCATAGGCTGTAACAATTACAGTTTTCACCCATTACAATATTTAATTTACATCCTCTTCATCCCCACACCCCTCTTATCAAGGTTTCATATTTCGATCAGAGGGAAGAAAGCTATTTCATTCTACATTGTTCCGCATAGAAGAATGAGAGAATTTGGTAATGAAATTACTGAATATGTACATACTAAGGTATTGTAGGCATTTAAATTAAACATTTACAAATCAGTGGATTCAGGTAAGTGACCGCTCTATTACTGACATGCATGTAAATATTTACTTTAATTTCTAAATGTTTTTCTCATAATGTTTATTTTTATATACGTTATCAGTCAAATATTTAAGTTATCAGTCAATGTAAAATACCTTTTTATATAATCAAAACGTTATTATATGAAACATTTCAGTATTGATACCTATATTTACTTAAAAATGTAAATATTTATATGATAAAATTTAATCTAAAATTTCGGATTTATATGATAAAATTGTATACTCAACATATATCTGAAAATAATAATTAAGATGTTCTTATCAATTTAGGGAACGTTGTAAAAACGTGTTTTAATTCTTGTCCTTGGCGGGTTACGGGTAAAGAACTCTGAAAAAAAAGAGCATAGGCAAAGTGGTACAGATCCCTCAATAATTCCCTATTCCCTATTATTTATAGTGTAGTGTAAGTTGGTATCCATTCTCCGCAATTAGCTTCTCATCTGGGCCGTTGTGCGTGTAGAGCCAGACTACTACAGTAGCCAGCCAAGCTCCTCCCAAAAGTGCAGAAGTCCCTGGTGTCCTCACAGGCTTCACGGAGCGATCTCACCGTTCCGAGGAATTGTTTTCGTTGTGTGGCCACTGCAAGCACTCCAGGATTACGTGAGCAGCCGTTCCTTCGGCTTCAAAGCAGCCCCAACAAAGGGGACTGTCTGTAGCGCCTATTGTATACAGGTGTTTGTTTAATAAAAATAATAATAAAACGATGTTTTATTATGCTAGGTATATTTTCTATGAACCAACCGCAGAGGTAAGTTATATGGTTGACAAATACAAATGTTAGGGTCCGTACTAACCTTA